ACTGCATGGCTAGATTACAGATATGCACCATCATGCCTGGCTTCCACTATCTCTGAATACCACTGCATCCTGGACCAAGCTTCCGGTACACGAGCCTTATAGGGAAGAGTGCCACCTCAGTCTCCTCTTACATGGAGCTGATGGTCGATGTGCACCCAGGTCATTTACTGTATTTTTCAAGAGAAACTGAGAGTCTCAAGTTTTCAGGTGAAATCTCCTTGTTCTTGAAATACTGGAAATTAAGTATAAAAATTAATGTGGACTAAACAAAATCTCAAATCATGGACTGGATTTGGCTCAGGATTTCTGCCTCTGCCTTGTACTAACCCATGTTGTCATGTTGGTGGATGTTCATTGTTGCCCTCTGTGGCTTATTTGTGTTTTCCCTGGGCCTTGGCACCTCAGCATAACGCTAATGGCAGCCCTCATGGATGGCTGAGGGGAGGATGCTTTTGGCCACAATTCATGGAAAGTCACCTATCCCACCTTGAGGCCAACTGTGCCTGAAACCAGCAGCAGTCATATCACTGTATATATCATAAAGCAAGTACAGTAGATGCTGCCTGAGGAGACATCTCCTCGGACTTGCCATGCACGGTCACAGGAAGTGAGAATGTGAGAGCTCAGTATCACCCTCGCCTGAGTCATCCTGCAAGAAAGCGAAGGCCATATGGAGCAGGGGTTTGCCTGAAGTCACTCAGCATTTTTTTTTTTTTGGTATGGAGGATCGAACTTGGGACTTTGTGCTTGTGAGGCAGGCGCTAGAACCACTGAGCTAAATCCCCGGGTCTCTTCACTCAGCTTTTGTGACCCAGTCAAAGCCCTGGTGGAGTCTCCCAATCACTGGCTCTATTTTCTAAGCCCTTTCCCAAGAGCTTCCATTTCCAGCTATAAAATAATTGCCTTTGCTTCGACTCCAAACTCCTTCTCCTGAGAAGTGGCATTCCTCTGAGCCCCGGGGATGTCCTGTGCTCTGCCATTTGTGGCTGTGGTTAAAATCAGGAGCAGCACAATAGAGAATTTCCTGAGTTCTCACACAGCAGACCCTTCTGTGCATTTTCAACTGATTGTTTCTGGCTTTCTCCACCAGAGAGTGGCAACTCCTCCCTTTTACTTTTAGAAAAACTTGGCAAAATATAAAAACTGGTGAAATAATATGGCCAGATTAAGAATGCAGTGGGAGAAGGCACTGTAGAGTCTCAAAACTATGAATATTTTTAAACATTGTATATTAGGCAGCAACAACCAAGTATGTGAGTAGTGTGAAGGTCATGTTTTGTACCAGATATTTGACCTCTGATCATTGCAGGGTACTGGGAAGGCATTTGCTCCCTGCAACTCTTCAGGAGGCCCCTTGGAAAGACTGTGAAGAGGGTTTGGTTGGGTCCTCCTTCCTGCTGCCATCTGTCCAGGCCTCAGACAAGCCCTGTCCAGAAATAAACTGTAAGGACAAGGGACCACAGCCAGCCATAGACATTCTGCCTCATTGCAGAGAGGTCCTCCATGTATCTTCAACAATGTATGTTGTGGCAGTGGTATAATATTGCTGTCAACAGCTTCTGAGGACATCAAATGCCACCACAGCCCCTGCATATTTAATCCCTCACAAAGGCTGTTTATGGTTCTATGGGCTCTTCTTCACAAACTTTACACCTTAATTTTATTAGCTTTTTCAGAGAATTCAAACAGATTAAAGAGGCTCAATTTTCCCTTCAAGAAGTCATGCTGCTTTAATTAGTCAATGTTTGCAAAGTGCTTTTGAAGAGGGAAAGTACTATAGAAGTACTAAGTCGTAGGGTTAGGAGTTACTCGACACACCACATAAACATCTCCAGTCTGTAAATGCCATCCTTCCTATTTCATTGGGTGGACTGTTTCATCCCATGCAGAGTGTTTCCGCCACATGTTGAGTCACACACAGGGTCCCAGGGCCACTTACAGCCATCTGTGGTGCGTGACCACTGGTCTCCACTTGTCTTCCAGCTGAGAATCTTGACAAACTCTTAGAACAACTTTGTCTCAGGAATAGCTCAAAATCTTCCCCCTCTCTTTTGCTTCACATGCAAACAGTAGTGAGTTCCCATCATGCACCAGGCACGCTTCCTCTTGGTTCTCTTTCCTGGCCGAGGCTAATGGTGTTGCCAAATGACCTTGGGTGTGTCATTTCATCTCTCTGGTTTCCTTCATCCCTTTGCCTGTGTTGCAAGGGAGCTCACACATCACTGGGGATAAAAGTCTGCTCCTGCTCTGATCCATATTCCTAGGCTACTTATCTCCCCTTTTCCTGCTTTAAGTAGAGAATGAAGGAAATCAATGCTGCATTCACTGCTTCCACACAAGTACAGTTTTACCTTTCACCACTGCAATGACTTCTCCCTTACTACAGAGAAACAAGATATGATACAGATATATTTTCTCTATATTTATTTTATATTATATTCATCAATAAAATTTTTGAGATAGGGTCTCTCTATGAAACTCAGACTGGCCTTGAACTCACTATGTAGCCCAGGCTGGCGTTGAACTCACAGCAATCCTCCTGCCTCAGCCTCCCGAGGGCTCGCATGACAGGCAGGTGCCACGATGCCTAGTATTCCCAAATGTTTTATACCCTTCCCTGCCTTCTCAAATTGTCACACTGTAGTCTACTGCATTCATACCCTCAAGAATAGGGGATTTACCTCAGTGGTTCCACCCCCTGCCTCGAAAGCGCAAGGTCCCAACTTCGATCCCTGGTACCAAAACAAAAAGAATACTTGATGTTGTCATACTTGTGCCCAAATAAAATGACCCTAGAAAGCAAAGCTTTTGAAGTTACTTTGTTATTTATCCCTGTCCAAGAGGTGCTGGTGGATATTCTCACTGTCATCCCTGTTCCTGCTTCAAACGGTATTTCTCTTCCCATTTGCTGCCTCTACTCTGTAGCTGGGAAATGGAAGAACTAGAATTTTGTCAAATGGGGGGAAGGGCATAAACAAGCTTTAAGTGAGGGACTGAGGAGTGCTGTATGAGCTCAGGACCCAAGCTGAAATGTACAAATTGTGGTACGTCACCTTAACCTCTCAATGGCCTCATCTTGTCCCTTTTCAGTTGTGGTTTTCTTTTGGACAGAACGAGGTATATAGACTTCCCATCAGAACTCTATATTCACCAGAATAACTGACTTCTGGACACCTTCTATGCCATGGTTTGGATACAGACAGTTCTTAGAGACTTCCATGGAGTAGGTGGCACTAACCGCTTGTTGACTAAATGGCTCTAGCAGCTTTTCAGGCAGCAAGGAATTTTAGACAATGAAGGTTTTAAAGCTTTGAAACACAAATGTACTTCTGTTAGAAAGATACAAATTTATAAGGCAGTTTCCTAGAAAACCTCAAAGTTCTTGGTGACCTGGAAAATGTAATAAAATCACTCTTTCTTCTCTTTCTCCCAGAATGCTTCTCCTTTAGAATTTCAAAGAGCCAAAGAGCCCTGTTGTCATTTCCTATTTGCCATCATAAATGTTAATAAAACTCCAATTTCCTAAAGGTGAGAGTAGAACATATTCATTTACATCTTTTTTTTCTAAAAAGAGAAAAAATTCAGGGTTCTGTACCCGCTTCAATTTGAGATGCTCCTTTCAATTTTCAAGACGAGGAAGATCTTGGTAAAGACCACATTCATTCTGTTTTCAGCTCTAAGAGTTGTATTCTCTTTAAACTTAGAATCGACATTTTAAGTCTTTTATTCATCCAACTTATGCTGGGTAATATCTGAAATTTTGAACAGAGCCAAAAAAAATGTATAAACTAATCTTCAGAATTCAGTTATTCCACGGGAGGCATTAGAGAGCTCATTGGATTTTGATTTCAGATGGTCTTGGCTTTAAGTCCAGGTCATACTACTTCCCAGCTGAGAGACCATGGACAAATTGTTTAGCTTTTCTAAGCCTCAGTTTCTCATCCATAATATGGGTATTTCAATTACCTGTTGCTGAATAAGGAACCTACTTATAGCTTAGCAGTTTAAAACAACAACTATACTTTTTTGGAGATCTTGCTATTTGGACAGGGCTCAGCATGGATGGTTCATCCCTACCTCATCTGGTGTTGTCAGACCCCTTCAAGGCTAAGCTCAGTTAGAGATGGAACTCACATCATTCAGCTGGCCTCACTCATGCCTGGTGGTTGGCATTATTAGCTGGAGCACTTCAATTTTTTTTTTTTTTTTTTGTAGCCTAGGCTGCCTTTCTTACAGCAGAGCAGCAGACCTCTGTGAGCACAGGGGCAGAAGCTACTAAACCTCTGTAGCTTCTCATCTCAGAACAAACAAGGTCATTTCCACCTCAATTTATGGATCAAAACATGTCACAGGATAGACAAATTCAGGAAAGGCAAGACAGCTGTAGCTCTTCATGGGAGGAATGGAAAATAATTTTACAGTCATTTTTAACCCAACACAATAGTTATACACCACTGTTCTCTTCTCAAAGTATTGTTGAGTTGCATGAGATAATGGCAGTCAATAAGTCTTTAATAAATACTACTTGCTTATGACTGTTATACAGTATCTTATCAGTCAGAAGCCATTCGTTTTGCGATCTAGTACCTGACCAGTTACTTTGGCTGTATCTTGGTGTCTTTGGGTCTATCTACACAGGACTGGCTCCACAGGAGATGCCCAATTAAAGACACCAATAGCAAATATTTATGACAGTGTCCACTACGTGCCAGACACTGTCCCAAGCACTTTACTTATGTTATACAGCAACCTCATACATCCTAGAGCTAACTTTATTTTGCAGATAGACTACTTAAGCATGGAAAAGGAAAGTGACATGCCTAAAGCTACATGCCTAGTAGATAATGGAGTTGGAATATGTATATATGAGTCAAGCAACCTGAATGATTCCAGAAAACATGTTCATTTAGTTTATTGAATAAGTGAACATATAGAACTAGTGATTTACATCACTCTAAGGCTCCTTCCTCTCAAATTAGATGATGCTTCATGAACAAGATATACAAATAATTGAAGAACTTAGTTTCTTGGTACCAAATGCAAAGTTGAGGAAAGAAGTTCAGTGGGATTTCTTGCTTTAAAGATAGAATAATTCAGGGCTGGGGATTTAGCTCAGCAGTGGCTCCGAGCCTGCTTTGCAAGCACAAGGTCCTGAGTTCGATCCCTGGTACAGAAGAAAAAAAAAAAAGAAGAATTCAGAATTTAGCTCTCTGCCCACTGACTAACACTCTACTTTCAGCTGAAATGAGGAATAAATATGTAGGTGTATGGCTACATTTTCCAGTTTGGATGTCTCACATTTGTTCTTATTTCAATTACTTCTCCAGTACCCCTGCTACAGTAAAATGGGGATAAAGACAATTAAATGAGATTGACTCCATCACCATTGGCAATTTTGAATTTGAAAGTCTGCATAAATGCCAGATATTCCTGTTTTTAATGAATTATTACTATCAGGTACCCTGATTCATGTGAGGGAAACTTAATTTCTCGTGGTATCATCGCTTTTGACACAGTCTTTTTAACATGATGTCTCAGACAGTAAGTTAGGCTGTCCCCAAACCACTCAGTCTAAAAGGATCTTGGATTTTCTGCCAGCATGTTTCACCTCCTACTTCTTTCTGAAATAAAAAGGGAAGATAGAAAAGGAAAACATTCTGTACTCTCTTGAATCCTGTTTTCTGGTGCCATGATGGGAAGCAAGGGGACAGAAGCAGGGAGTGTGAAAACCACCCTAAGTCTCCCAGTATGATTTATTCACTTATATGTCATCATTTCACCGAGTCCCAGAGAGTGCATTCATCGTTTTGGGGCCATGGGAGGCCCGGGTGGAGGTGGGAGTGTAGCTTTGAGTCAGGAGACCAGGATTATAGCACAGAGGCCTCCACTAACTAGTTGTCTAATTCTCAACACATCTCTTTGTCTTTCCAGGTTCATTTTCCCCATCTGTCAAGTCAAATGAAGGTTATGGAATAGATGATCTCTAAAAATCCTTCCAGCTCTACAGTTCTATTCTGGGTCTGTCTGCACCTGCAAACAGTGATGTGAGGGCAGGCAGGGCACTGTGAGGGAGGCAGATCTAGGCAAGAGAATAAAACACTTTCACCTGGAGCAGCCCTGCATCCTCATGTGCGTTGTGCAGTACAGGCTTGTCTCAGATTTTCCAAATAATTGACTGAGTCCCCTCCTTTCTTTGTCAGTGGACACACAGCTTTAGTTCTTCTGGGAGCAGCAGCTGCTTTTCTGAAATTTCCATCCCAGGGCTTCCATCCTCCACTGTGTCCTCTCAGAAACCTGTCATGGTTTTTCTGGATGGATGCCCACAGAATTTTAATCTAGTCAGAGGGAGGGGAGGGGGGGAAGAGGGAGAGAGAGAGAGAGAGGAGGGAGAGAGGGAGAGAGAGGGAGAGAGAGAGAGGGAGAGAGAGGGAGAGAGAGAGTGAGTATATTATGCATAACAAAAAGCCAAACCAGGTCATGGGGTGTTTCTTATTTAGTTTGGTTTAATTCAAGGTGGAACCCAGAGAGGTAGCCTTGAACAGCACTGTCTATGATACCAATTTACAGCCGTGATTTTCTTTAGTTAAAAGCATTGTCCTTGGTGAGGTAGAGGGAGAACTGTATGCTTTACTTCTTGAATTCTGCTCAAGCCTCAACAACTTCAGACTCTTGGTAAATGTCCGTTTTTCAAACCAGATGTTTTCCCAGAGGGTGCCAATTTCCTCCCTCCCTTCTCTAATAAGCATTTGCATTTTCAGTGGTGTGTGTGTGTGTGTGTGTGTGTGTGTGTGTGTGTGTGTGTGGTGTCCCTGCCTTCAGCAATCTTAGTTTTGTCCCAGAAATTTAAAAGGTGTAACTCTCCAACTATAACTTGTGGGAAAACCTCCTGGAGAGCCAGCTAGAAATTTAAATTCCTGGAAGCTGCTCTGAACCATTGATCCAATAAGTTTCCTGCCACCAGGAAACTGAATTTTACTCACCTCAGATCAGCTCCATGTAGAAGGGTGATAGATTCCTAAAAATGTTGACAGCTAGAATCAGGCAAATGTTGTACTTCCACTTCCATTTCATGCTGTTTGAACAAAGTAGATGAAAATTGTGGCCTAATAATCAGGAACCCCCACATTAGTGTAAAGTGTCTTTAAGACACACCAAGATCACCCAGAGATTTGGAAAACTTAAAGCAGGGACGATTTTGGAACTGAAAAAGGACACAGCCCTGAGGAGTGAGTAAAAAAGAACACAGATAACTTGGAAGTCAGACAGAGCTGAGTACAAATTCTGCACTGAGCCACTCTGGGACTGGACCAGTTACTGATCTCTGAGTTTCCACTCTGGAATATTGCTACCTCTCTGAAAGGGGACTAAGAAAATAAAATAAAATGCATTTATGCATCTAGTAGGAGTGATCAATAGAGTTCCTACTCATAACAAACTATGCTACTGTTTTCCCTTACAAGGAGCAGATGGGTTAGGGCCTCCAAGTCCCTACTTCAAATTTGTCTTGGGGACTTGGCCACAGTTTGGCCACCACTGCCCATGGAGCGTGTGTGTGTGTGTGTGTGTGTGTGTGTGTGTGTGTGTGTCCCCTCTAAAGCCAGAAGGATGCTCCCAATCTGCCCAGCCCCATAGACCTAAAAGAAGTAGTGGGCTGGGCCTTTTTTTTTTTTTTTTTAAAGATTTCCCTCCGGGTCTTTGGCCTGGCGCCACAGGTGTCTGCCTGGGTTTCTAAGGCTGCAGAGACCTTGGAGGAAACACCAAGGCCCAGCAGCCTGTGTGGCTGGGGACAGGGAGCCACCTCGAGGTGGCCCCGCTTCGGCCGAGGTTGTAGTCTGAGACTCCAGCGGCCCTCAGGGAGCCTAAAGAAGCTAGGGGGATCCCACCTCGCCCTGCGCACCCAGTCTGCTGCAGTTCGCGGGTGCGACTCCCTCGCCCTGGCGGGCGGTAAGGAAGAACTCTCGGGTCGAGATCTAGGGCTCCTGCCCACCAGGTGCTGCAAGGAAGCGGGACCCTCACCGGGAGCACCCGAATTCCAGGGACCCTCAGTGCAGAGGCGGTGATGGGAGCCGAGACCCCGCGCAGCACGACCAGACCGCGGGAGAGCGAAGCCCTCGGGGTCTCGAGGCGCCAGTCCCGCGCCTAGGCGTTGCGGGAAGTAAGCGGGAAGTTGGCTGGATTTGGTCTAAATCCTGCTCCACGTTTTCAGGACCGGGCTGTCGCGAGGACCCTTGCGGCTCTCCGCTGCCTCCGGCAGCCAGCGACCCGGCTGGGGACTAGTTGATCAAAGGCGTCGGGCTCCGCGCGCCGCAGCGCTAGAGGCGCGGAGGACTGAGGGGCCCTGGGCCGGCGGGGGACCTGAGAAACCCGCCGCCCAGCGGAGATCGGCTCGGGTTCAATACCCCCTCCCCGCACTAAGATAAAGTAAAAGCCCTCGGTCCGTCTGCAGGGCCTCAGACACCCTCCGGGGCGGACCGAGCGCGGGCTCTCCAAAGGGGCTGGGGTGGCGGCGTGAAGAATGAGGAAGCCGGGCCGGGGCAGCCCCCTCTGGCCCCCCGAGGTGTGAAGGGGTGCGGGCGAGGCGGCGGGCGGACGGCGGGGCGGG